TCTCAACAAGATCCGACAGTCGTCTGACCCGCAAGTTGTCTGAAAAGCTGCTTTATCGGAAGCGAAGCAGATATCTACCAGAGGCCGTTTACAACAAGATCAGACCCCGACACAAACAGCCGCCTAGAATCTACGGTTTACCGAAGATCCATTAGGCCGATGTACCGCTAAGACTGATCGTGTCGTGCGTAAACACCTTTGCATATGATTTATCTGCTTACTTAGCCAACATTCCGGTTTCTAATGGTTATCCTTTTTCTTTCTTGCAGAAACGTACCAAGAGCGGAAAACCGAACAACAGTGCCGAACCCGCTAATGAGTTTAAAGCTACTGCGGTTTTACCTTATGTCAAAGGTCTGTCCGAACAGCTTCGCCGTTGCTACAACAACAAGGCTTACGCGCTGTTTTAAGTCGGAGACTACGCTAAGATCTCAGCTTGTACGACCAAAAGACGCTGTCGACCCGGCTAAACAAGATGGCGCATGACCAGTCGACCTTATCGCCTGAGGAAGACTAGCAGTATGCAGTCGAAACGTCGTGATTTACATCACACGTGACTACATCGTGAGATAAACGAAAACTTCGCTTTTATTTTTAAAGAAAGTTATTTCCAAGAAATTCCTGTACGAGATCAATTTTTATAAAATAAAGTCATTTTCTTAATAATTTTTTTCAACAACATAATAAAAATATACCGGTAACTAGCTGCAAACCGCAGTTTACTCAAAAACATCTGTCTCCATGTCAATTTCTCGATTATAATAAAAAAGTAACCAAACTCTATCTATAAAATAAAACCGCCTAAAAAAGTAAAAAAAAAATTATCAACTGGCTTATTATAATTCTTACCGAATAGCTTATACTAACATATCTTTTCCATCTATTTTCACGTTCAAATAAATCAAAAATCACCTAGAATAAAAATTCTTACTAGATGCCAATTTTGTCTTTTAACAATATTGTCGAAAACCAGACATGCGACACAAAATGCGCCCATTTAATATTCAGTCTTAGCCAGGATTCAGTTGCTGAAAATTCTACTTCTACTGGCCACACGTTTTGCCTGCTACGCAGCTTGTTGCCAAATACCGTTATTAGTTCGGATGCAATATCATTCAGTCACAGCTCTTACTTTCTGCGTTTGATGAGGTTCCCTCCTTTGGTAGATATGTATGGGAATTTACAAGAGCGGTTAGCGCGAGCAGCACCGCTGCAATCGAAGGACTCTACCGTGACCTACCCTTGAATCTTTTTTTCACATTCGTTTCGATGTTACTAGGCCCAGTTTTTCTATTGTCTTAGTACTAATGACCTCTGCTTGCTAAGTACTGTCACAGAAGAACATTACTTACACTCTTTTATTCCGAATAATTGATTCATGGAAACTCTATTGATCGTATATGGAGTTTGTCTGATTATTGCTGACCTATCGTGGAGTTAATCTGATAATGTTTCTCGAAAATGATTACTGAAAACCCTTTTCAAGAAATCCAATTAAAATTATATTTTTCAGCAGCTCTCGCACTAAAGACAATTTTTCTTTCTCCATCCTTGTCGTTTTATTTCTTATTTTTAGGATTTGTTTGAAGAAAGTGATTGCATGCGGGAACCCTAAAACTTCAAGAATTTATGTCTTAACTATAGCTAACCTTGCCTTCGTCGAGTCTCTTTTTTGTTACCCTCTTTGGATAGGCACCCTCTGGTATCAGACTTCAGGAGTTTTGTGTTTCATTTCGTGTCACTTTTCACTTCAAGAATACACCAGAGCAGGCCTGACACCAGAGATGTTGTATTGTATTGTTTTGTTTTTCTTCTCACCCAGCCTCCCACCCTGGGTGATTTTGCGTTATGTCATAGGGTTGCAAAGAGGTTTATTGGGCATATAATTGAATGTTGTTTACTTTTCGTTTGTATTCTTAATAAACTTCTGTGTGCCAAAAAGCGAATCGTTATTTATTTGTATCAGGGGGCGTAATTGGGGAATTCGAAGTTATTTTTTATGTCGGTCGATGATTTAGTCGGTTCTGAGTTCCTCTGCATACATGGGTATGTGGAGATCTGAGAATATAAACTAACTGCCATGTCATCTTTGACAAGGTAGTTAAATTTTAACTCTTAAGCTGGTTAAGAACTGAAATCAGCTGAAATATAAGCTACAGCCCACGGCATTGTGGGAAATATGAACAAATTCAGGCTACTGTCATTTTGTTATGGGACGAAACTACTCGGCCTACGAAGAGTCTGATTGTTTTGCTGGAACCTCGGACGATATTGCTACTAATCATACAAACCCAAGTTTAGATAGTGAAGAGACAATCTATTTCGGATGAGCTTTCTGTTACAAACGAAAGGTCAAGTAAAACGATCGTGATACACGCATATCGTGACTCACTCAAATCGCGACATGGCGCAATTTAATCTTTGTTTCCGGGTAGCTTTTCTCGCTGTACTTCTTCCACTGACTTCAGGTGAGTACCATATCATTTTGAATCTGTTAGAAAGGTCTATTTTTATGTTAAAATATACAGGATACTTGATTGGAGATTTCTTTCAGTTATGAGTGCTGTAGCTCAAAGCTTTCTCATACGGTCGCAGGTTAGTTCTCAATGCGGACAGCATTAATATCAGAAAGAAACGAGGGTTCCTCGGGATTTTGTGAGGAAAATGTCATTATGTCAGAATAGTACAGTTGAAAATCTGCCTGTTTTTACATCAATCGCAATTTGGAAGCATGGAGAATCATACGAATGAAATTAAACTTTGAATTGTTCAGCAATCAGAAATACAGACAGTTCTGAAACTATTGAGTTTGAACGAAGAAATCGAGTGGTAAGATCTGCTGCAGTTTCAGGTTAAAGAACTCTTGGAATTTATTCCACCTTTCCTATCTACCTTAAAGCTTCTAATTTTGACCAGTCTGTATATATCTACCTTGTGCTCCCAAAATTGTACCTTTACACTGAAATTCAACTTCTCTTTGCTCCAAGGAAGGGTTAATGACCCAGGTTTCTCAAATTCACTGCAACAATTTATTTTCCTTTATTTATATTTTGCTTCAATGCCTTTGATGCAGCACAGCAGTTTTTCAAAACTTGAATCTTTCTTCATTTTCTTTAAAAATGGATGCCATCCAAAATGATACCCCATGTATCCAACCATTGTTGAATGTTACTATATTTATAGGACTGTGTTATAGGGCAGATGAAAATTTTGTTTCTATAGGGGCTTGTGTTGATATTTACCTTGGAATGGAAAGTGGAACAATTCCAGATAGTGATATAACTGCTTCTTCAGTACAAAGTGCCAACACACCAGCCAAGAATGGTCGACTAAACTACACATCAGGATCATCATGGTGTGCAGGAACAGGTGACACTAACCCATATCTACAGATTGATCTAAAGACACTTCATATCATCTGTGCTGTGTCTACTCAAGGTAATTCTAAAGCAGATCAGTGGGTGAAGACCTACAAACTACAATTATCCACTGATGGGACAACTTGGACAAACTATACCGAGTTAGGTGGGCAGGCTAAGGTATGTCATATGGGCTGGTTGAGAATTATATGATATCTTGCCTCAATCACTGTTCCTGAGTTTTGATAATATTGATGCATTTACATCAAATTGGCTACCAAAGGAGCTATAGGTATGCTGAGGATTATTTTTACAATAACAATTCAACAAGTATTCTCCACATGCTCAGAAAATATCATGAGTTTTGTGTATATATTTTTCATTCAGCAAATGATATTTTGCATGTCTGAATTTGCAGTCAAAGAGTACCAGGAAGAAATGGACAGGGAATCTAACAAATTGTTTTAAACTATATTATTCCACTAAATATTTACAGTGTGAAGTAGCTTGTCAAAGGAGTGCTGAATAAATGATTTCTAATTACTGAGAGATTGCTGCTCTCAATCCAAGAAGTAATGAAATGATTGTCACGGGTAAACTGCAGTTGTGAAATTAGATAGAGCTCACCTTTAATGGTCAGTGAGCTATTTTTTACAATCCAGTGGTCAAAATATGATTTTTTCATGTTTACTTAGTAACCCTGTCCATATGGACCTCTTCCATAAATGTTAGGCCTAATTCCTACATCTACATTTGTATTTTTCTGTTTGTATGAAGATTAATTTAGCCACCTAGCCCAACCATTGTGGTAACAATAAAAGTATCTCCTGTCATAAAACAAGAGGTAAAGTAATGATGATTACTTTCACTAGGATGAGGAGTTACAATTATGGAACTCTATAATGAGTTATAATTATTTTCCTAAGGTGTTAGAGGGAAATAAGGATAGAAACTCAAATGTCAAACATGTTGTATATGGAGTGTTAACAAGATATTTGCGATTCCTGCCACAAACACACCAGGGTGAGGTGTGTATGAGAACAGAGGTGTTTGGGGTGAAACAGACACCAAGTAAGTTTAAAACTATTGTGTGATGTGATCTTTGCATTTGTTAATCTATGAACAAAGGTTCAAACCTTGTGGTTTTGTTATTTGGATAGGTAGCTTTAGTAATACAAACCAGTCTTTGAGTGCTTGAGGAGAAAAACCCAGCCATTGTGATGAGCTTCTTATGCTTATCAATTCAGCCAGGATGCACCAATTTCTGCTTTATATATTGTGGTGGATAGTTTTATTGTCGGGGCCTGTAGGGTTTTGAGCTGAGGATTGCAAAAAAAAATTCCAACATACCACAAACTTTCCTTGATGATATTGCACAAGTGCATGGAGTTCCTCATGTCACATCTTCACTTCTTTTACAGTGAAAGCTGGTCAGAAAAGTTAGGGATCCATTCTGGGCAATCACCTAGTTCGAGCAGCACAGTCCCTCATTTCATGACACCTGTTTGCAGCATTCATTTGGTTATTTTGTAAACAGTTACAGCATCATCATTTTTTTCCATTGAATATTTTTTGGTATTTTTCATTAATATCCTACAGATTGTTTAGAAGTGTATTCAATTAATTACACTGAAAAACATACATGTATTATGGTAATATGTGAAGGTTAACTTTAAAATTGTTACATTGCAGCATGTGATTCACAGGCAATTGGTTTGGCTAGTGGTGGTAGAATTCCAGATGACAGCTTCTCAGCCAGTTCAATATTTAAAGCCACATATGCAGCTAAATATGGTCGTCTTAATGGAAGAGGGGCATGGGAACCTAAGACTACTACTGATCCTAATGACTACCTACAAATTGACCTTCTCTATGAGTATGTTATCTGTGCTGTTGCTACTCAAGGAAATCCACCATCCCAATCACAAGCTCAAGAATGGACCACAGAGTACAAACTGAGGTTTTCTTTGAATGGTACCACCTTTCTCCCTTATAAAGAAAACAAAATTGACAAGGTTGGTATGGCATGCTTGTGTATACAAGTATTTACAACAGCCAAAATTACTACTTGTGGACACAAAACTATAGATTTTCATTTTGCAAATTACAGATTTCATTTTGTAAATTCAAGGTGCAGATTTTAATTTTATCTCATTTCACATATTACAGCAAACCATTAACTATGCCAAGTTTCAATACATTGATATCACTTTTTGTCTAACAGGCCTTTCCAGGAAATACAGGAAAAACTGACACAGTGAAAAACAGTTTAAAGGAATTTGCAAGTGCAAAGTTTATTCGTTTTCTGCCAACAAAGTATAATAAGTTCAAGGTTTTGAGAGTGGAGGCTTATGGAATACTTTTCACTAAAGGTATTTTTTTGGTTCTCATTTTTGTCTTTTTGTTACAAAAAGGAATCACAATAACTACTTCTTAGGGACTTAAAGGCAAGATTGGACACCTTTTTAGAACTGAGGAAAATTTTAAAATTCTGTGATACTTAATTATTGTCTATAGATTTAATAAGAATGATGTAAGTATACCCTATGTGATTTTAGAGCTGAGCATTAGAGAATTGAACAATCACCTCCTACAAAACTGAAGAGCATGACAAAGTTTGAGTGGTTGTTTGGTAGATTGTCGGTTTGAATTTGAATTGATTTTGTTTTTTTTGTTCTTTGTATTGATAAAAATTGTGACAATCACAAAATTTCCTATTGAAGGAACTAAGATGAAGTGGGTGAAGAGGTAACTGAAGGTGGTAAACATTCCTTATTTTTGGTCCTTGGTAGAGTGGAATGAACTTTCCAATGTTTTTTTACAGATATGGGGCCCAAGGAGAGCTGTGGCACTAGAGCCAGAGCAATGAAGTTCTGCACTGTAAACCCAAGATCTCATTAGTAATTCTCCTAACTGTCAGCCATACTGTTCTTGTGATGTTAGATTGGAGAATTTGGTATTGGATCAACCTATAGTCCCCTAACTGATATTTTTATTTATTCTCATCACTAGTCTGGTTGATATTGTACTGACATTGTAAGGAAAAATTCTGTCCTGGTCACTCATGGGATTTAAAGGGTTGAATAAATTGTTGTTATCAGAAAAGTTAAATAGTAGTGTGAAATTCAGATATCATTGATAAATTTCACATCAATTATCATCTAAGCATGGAGGCATACATTGTACATATCTTTGATATAATTATTTATTTCAGTTCCATCACAACCTCCTACTGCCTTCAAGTTAACTGCAAGTTCTTCTACCAGCATCACAGCTTCCTGGCAGTTACCACCAGTCTTTGCCAGACATGGAAGAAACATTACAGGTTTTAAACTGTTCTACAAAAAGAAAGGTTGTGGTGGGTCAGCAACAACATTGACAATTAGCAGTGGATCAATATTAAGTAGAAATGTCACTGGGCTTGATAAGTTGACAGAATATGAATTTCAAGTGTTGGCTTTCACTTCTGATGGTGATGGACCAAAGAGCCCTGTTGAGGTTAAGAGAACAAAGGGAGCTGGTATGTGATAGATAGAGAGAAAAATAGCTAACTTCTAGAAACATCCAAGTCCATCTCCATATTTTATCAACTTTTCCCTCCTTTATTGCCTTGAATACAAACATTTTTGCCTTCCTAAATTATTTTGAATTTTCATGCTGAAATATATTCTGTGTTATGGTACAATCTAAGTGACACAAAAACATAACAATCTTACAAACCCAACAACTTTATTTAACAGCGAACCATGAAAGATGGTAAGAATCTTGAAAATACGTGTGAATGTTATGCATTACGTCTGTTCCTAACAAATTGAAAAAATGAACATTAATCAATGAAGAAAGACTTTATTTATTGAGGATAGCACGTGATAGTGCACAAACACTAATAAACTTGTGGTCCTCCTAATTACAATAAATATATAAATACAATAGAATCATTAATAGAATGAAATATAAATAGAAAATTAGCTAAAACAAGTAAGAATATATAAAACTACTATCAATAAAATTTACGGATTAAAATGAGCTAAGCATGATTGGTCCTTATAGTAATATTTAAATACGTTGTCTTTAAAGGCCTTAAGTGTATTAGACTTTTTTAATTCAGGCTTTAACTGATTCCATAATTTTATGGCAGAAACTAGAAAAGTTTTCCCTCCTTCTCTAGCCCTTTTAAACTTAGGTAATAAAAAGTTGTATTTACAAAATCTAGTGTTGCGTGAATGTACTGAACTTAATAATCTTAAGCTATCATTAAGATAATTAGGTACACAATAATTAATCCTTTTAAATAGTATTGAACATTTAGCCATCTTAGTAGAGTCATAAAATGGTATCCACTTTAAACGATTGAATAGCATAACTGATGAACTACGTGGTTCAGCATCTAATAAAACCCTAGCAGCTCTCTTTTGTAGCCTAAGTATTCTTAAAAGAGATTCATTAGAGCAAAGTGACTGCCATGCAACATTGGCATAATCAAATAATGGCTTAATTAAACTATTATAAAATAAAAGTCTTTGGTTAAATGGTAAACAAAGTTTGATCTTATTCAAAATTCCAATTCTTTGTGAAATTTTTTTACACAGTCTGTCAACATAAGTGTTCATTGATAAATCGTGGTCAATGTCTATACCAAGAAGTTTAGCTGAGGGTACTTGTTCCAATGATACACCATTCATAGTTTTAAGAGATAAATTATAACCATCTGGTAGTTTCTTCCCAAGGCGTTTGCCTGTGACCAGTAGTGTTTTAGTCTTTTTTTCATTGAGAGGAAGTTTATTGGTGTGCGTCCAGCATTCAATTTCCTTCAAAGAAGCAGCTAGTGAATCTTGTAGAGAATCAACCGCTGAGATATCTGCCGATAATGTCAGTGTGGTGTCATCAGCATAGAGATCCAGGTCAGCACCATTAACATGTAGAGGCAAATCATTGATATAAATGACAAAAAGTAAAGGGCCAAGGATACTACCCTGTGGAACACCATGCCTCACAAGAGTAGAGTCAGATGTCACATTATCAATAGCAATAAATTGATGTCTATCAGTCAAGTATGAACTAAACCATTTACTTGCAACTGGAGTTAAACCATAGGCATTCAGCTTTTGCAAAAGAATTTCACGGTCAACCATATCAAAAGCTTTCCTGTAATCAACTAAAAGAAGACCACTGACTTGATCATTGTCTAGATTAAATAACAAATTGTCTATGACTCGTATAAGAGCAGTGTCTGTTCCATGGTGTTTCCGAAAACCTGACTGTAAAGGGTACAATAGATTGTTTTCACATAAGTAATTATAGAGATGATCGTGTATATGACGTTCCAGAATCTTTGACAAAACAGGTAATATCGAAATGGGTCGATAATTGTCAGGATCCTCACGGTCCCCAGATTTAAACAACGGAATGACTTTCGCTATCTTCCAACAATCAGGGAATACACCAGAATTAATTGAAATATTCAAGATTTGAGTAATTGAATAAGCAATAGCTGGTCCTGCTATTTTCAGATATCTTGCACTTATCTTGTCAATACCCATAGCTTTGTTTGTTTTAAGTCCTAACAGAGCACCCAGCACAAAATCTTTGGTAACAGGAGGAATATTGAAAAGAACATCCGGATCTTTTCTTGAACAAACAAAGTTTTCAACCTTTGAATTGCAATAAGGTACATTAGGTAGTAGATTCCTCAGTGAATCAGCAATTGAAGTGAAGTGATCATTAAACTTTTCGGCCAAAACAACATTTGGCGTCTCAACTGATGATAAGATGTGTTTATTGAAAAGCACCCTTTTGCCCACCTTATCTTGAAGTTCATTTTGGTCAAAGTCTCACAAGCGGGACTGTTATGTAAGTGCTTATGTTCCTTTTCTTTGTGCTTGTCTAAACATCTAGTCTTTCAGTAGTTTCCCTCAGTTTTTACACCAGTTTCTTTGCAACCTTATAACACATAACTTACGTTGTTCTCAGTTTGTTAGTAAGCTGCTCGTTTTTGCCACTTGGTTATTAGTTTTGTTAGAATTTGTTTTCAAGTGGTTCTCCTTTATCCTTTGAAGATAGTCTTTTTGTGAGTTTGTTTTTTACGTTTTAGCTAGTCCGGATCTTGTCTTTATATCAGAATGATTGGAATGTTGGTCTGTATCTCAGAATTTAGCTTAGCTTCTTCCTTCTAATTTCATATTTCATAAGTACTTGGATAGCTCGACTACGCTAATAAAACAATTCAAGTCTTTTCCGTAAAATATATCCATGCTTCATAGTTTGTCTTCATTAGTGAAACTCATAGTTGTTGTTGAAATTTGCTTCACTTGTGTTGGCTGCTACAATCAAGGTGGCCCTTCAATGTTTCAGAGCATGCATAGTGTTCACAATTGTGGCTGGCAGGTTAGGTTGAAAACCTACTTTGCTTTTATCAAGTGTTTTTATTCCTCTTGTTGCAAATTGATATGTTTTGAAAAATTAAGTGGATTGGCTTAAAATTTGACTCAAAGACTCGGAGAAAATCAATCAAAAATACCTTACTGTAAAGGATTTCTATTCTTTTGATGGTCTGCATTGGCTTATGCATTGATAAAATTTTTGTTAGGTTGGAATTTTAGTCAAATAAATTTAAAAGGAAAGTTTGGAAGGAGCCAAAACAAGTACATAAAAATAACATGCTTTTAATGAATTTATTACCTCTTACAATCAAACTTGTGCAAGTTTTTTTGATGTGCACAACTTACCCTCTTAAACCCTTCCACATGTACATGGATGATTACATTGGGCAGTCACAATTTATGTTTTTAACATTTTTTCAATGTATAGGAGGTTGTGTTGAGTCTTATCTTGGAATGGAAAATGGAGCAATTCCTGACAATAAATTAACTGCTTCTACTGAACAAAGTGCCAACACACCAGCCAAGAATGGTCGAATGAACTACATATCAGGATCATCATGGTGTGCAAGAGCAAGTGACACCAACCCATATCTACAGATTGATCTACAAACACTTCATATCATCTGTGCTGTGTCCACTCAAGGGAATTCTCAAGCAGATCAGTGGGTGAAGACCTACACTCTACAATTATCCACAGATGGGATAACTTGGACACTCTATAAGGAATTAGGTGGACAGGTTAAGGTATGCCACATGGGCCAGTTGAGAATTATTTCACATCTTGCCTCAATTGCTGTTCCTGAGTTTTGATAATATTGACGCATCTATGTGAAAATGGCCACCAAAGGAGTTATAGGTATGCAGAGTATTAATTGTACAATAATAAAAAATTAAAAAAGTATTTTCCTCATGCTCAGCAAATATCATGACTTTTGAGTCAATATTTTTTCATTCAGCAAATGATATTTTGCATGCATGAATTTGCAGTCAAGGCTGCTGAAAGAGTATCAGGGAGATATGGACAGGGAATCTAACAACTTGTTTTGAACTACGTTATTCCACCTAATATTTTCAGTGTAAAATAGCTTGTCAAAGGAGTACAGGAGTTACATTGTACAATCTAGCTGGAACTCTGTGATGAGTTATAATTATTTTCCTAAGGTTTTGGAGGGAAATAAGGATAGAAACTCAAATGTCAAACATGTTCTATATGGAGTGTTAACAAGATATTTGCGATTCCTGCCACAAACACACCAGGGTGAGGTGTGTATGAGAACAGAGGTTTTTGGGGTGCAACAGAAGCCAAGTAAGTTAAAAAACTTTTTTATGATCCTTGCTTTTGTTAATCTATGAAAAAAGGGCCCAAATCTAGCAGTTTTGTTATTTTGTCCATAATTGTTATTTGGATAAGTAGTTTTAATGATACAAACCACTCTTTGAGTGCTTGAGGAAAAGATCACAGCCATTGTGATAAGCTTCTTGTGCATATCAACTAAGCAATTTCAGGTGACAGGATGCACCAATTTCTGCTTCATATATAGTGGTGGATAGTTTTATTGTCAGGGCCTGTAGGGCTATGAGCTGAGGATTGCAAGAAAAATTTCAATTTACCAAAAACTTCCCTGATAATATTGCACACTTTATCTATTTGAGGAGCACAGCCCATCATTTCAGGACAGCTGTTCACAGCATTCATTTCAGTTACAGCTTCATGGCTATTTTTCCATTACTTTTTTTCTGTATTTTTGTAATAATATCCTACAGTTTGTTTAGAAGTGTATTGAATTAATTACACTGAAAAACATACATGTCATATGGTAAGATGTGGAAGTTAACTTTAAAATTGTTGCATTGCAGCATGTGATTCACAGGCAATTGGTTTGGCCAGCAGTGGTAGAATTCCAGATGACAGCTTCTCAGCCAGTTCAATATTTCATCCCAGATATGCAGCTAAATATGGTCGTCTTAATGGAAAAATGGCATGGGAACCTAAGACTAATGGTCATGATGACTACCTACAAATTGACCTTCTCTATGAGTATATTATCTGTGCTGTAGCTACTCAAGGAAGTCCACCATCCCAATCGCAAGCTCAAGAATGGACCACAGAGTACAAACTAAGATTTTCTTTGAATGGTACCACTTTTTCCCCTTACAAAGAAAATAAAATTGACAAGGTTGGTATGTCATGCTCTCATATACAAGTATTCATAACAGCCAAAATCAATACTTGTGGTACAAAACTAGAGCTATACTCACATGAACAGCAAATTTGGTCATACATGTTATAGAATATTAACAATATTCACCAATGCTAACATTACCCACAATATACTTATGTTGCTTACAAACCATATTGACATTACTTTCAAGAATTAATAGTGGCATTTTCTGACAAATTACATGTACATGTAAGGATCAATATGGAGTACACACACCAGAGAGCATGTAGTCTATAAAAATACATTTTCATGGTAGTGTTAGGGTACAAAGATGTAGCAAACACTGACCAATTCTAACTGTTTAATCATACTTTCTAAAAAAATTACCATTAAATTTAAGATGGGGAATGAAATGGTCCTGATCTCTCTGACAGTCATAATCTAACTGGTGGCTTTCCATAAGGCAAAATCCCTGGTCCTCTTCAAATGATTTGCTGAAGTATCTCAAATTCTTTTTTTTTTAACCTAGAATGTATACATTTAACTTACAGGTAGCAGATTTCCATTCTTCACAATGCAGATTCTCATTTTGTGTTCTTTTTGCAAGCTACAGATTTTCATTTTGCAAATTCAAGCTGCAGATTTTAATTTTATCTTATTTCAAAAATTACAGTAACCATTAATTATGCCAAGTTTCAATACATCAATGACACTTTTTGTATAACAGGCGTTCCTAGGAAATTCAGGAAAAACAGATACAGTGAAAAACAGTCTAAAGGAATTTGCAAGTGCAAAGTTTATACGCTTTCTGCCAACAAAGTATAATAAGTTCAAGGCTCTGAGAGTGGAGGCTTATGGAATACTTTTGGCTAAAGGTATTTATTTGTTTTCATTTTTGTCCCTCTGATACAAACTGAAGTCACAATAACTAATCATTCTGAAAATTAAGGTGAGATTGGCAATTTACAGAACAGTAATGCTGGTAGGTAGACAAAAATATTAATGGCTTCCACATTTGGCTTTTGGAAAAAGATACAGTTTAAGTTTGTTACATATGCGGAGGATCAACCATTGTACAATGAGTTGCCACATATGATGGGCAATGAAGTTCTCTACTGTTAAATGAAGTGTTATTGAGATAAATTTCTCATCAATTATCAGCTAAGTGTGGAAGCATACATACATCTCTTTATGTTTATTTCAGTTCCATCACAGCCTCCTACTGCCTTCAAGCTGACTGCAACATCTTCCATCAGCATTGCAGCTTCCTGGCAGTTACCACCAGTCTATACCAGACATGCAACCATTAAAGGGTTTAAATTGTTTTACACAAAGAAAGTTTCGGGTTTGTCAGTAACAATCTTGACTATAAGCGGGGAATCAACATTGAGTAAAAATGTCACAGGGCTTGATAAGTACACAGAATATGAATTTCAAGTCCTGGCTTTTACTTCTGATGGTGATGGACCAAAGAGTTCTGTTGAGGTGGAAAGGACAATGGAAGATGGTATGTGACAGATTAGAAGTTGATTAGGCAACCAAAGGAATGGATAACCATGCAGTTCAAATCAATTATTTACTGTATTGAAACTTTTAAAATCTAATAACAATAAATATGAATTGACAAGGGAAGATTTTATATCAAGTAGTTACAATTTTTTTTGAAAATGAGTATATCGATCAAAACACTGTCCAATTGCAGTTCCTTCACAACCTCCATCTAACTTCATGGTCAATGCAACCTCTTCCACCAGTGTTGGAGCATCCTGGCAGTTACCAGCAGAAAATTCTAGAAATGGAATAATCAAAGGATTTAAATTGTTTTACAAAAAGAAAAGCTCTTCAGTGCCAGGAACCGTCCTTTTAATCAATAGTGAATCAATGTTAAACAGAAATGTCACTGGTCTTGATAAGTACACAGAATATGAATTTCAAGTGTTGGCCTTTACTTCTACTGGTGATGGACCAAAGAGCTCTGTGGTTGTTAAGAGAACAAAAGAGGATGGTAAGAGCTTTCATTTGTTATCTAATAAAAGGCTAGATATGTGTTCTGAACAGTTATTAAGAGAATATTGAAAATAGATATGTAACCAGAGTTTTATGAGGGGGAAAGACCATGACTTAATTATATTATACTATTTCAACATGCATCGCATCGTAATTAGGATTTAAAGCATGTCAATTTACTCATGAAATTATGCATGTTGGTGATTCTGATTGTTTTTGCTATTGGAAGCCTACCATATGCATTTAGACCCCAAAGGTGCACCCTATTTTGTATAAGAGATCAATAATAATTTATGGATGAGGGTCCACGACTATCATTTTTTGGAACCTCATCCATTTTTAGATCAATTTTCTTCTCCAGCGTTTTGAGCAATAGAGATGAAATGTTATCAGATTCCCTTTCTTTCGAAAATTTTGTCTCAAAACAGATTTCATTGCAATTGAATTACCTTATTTTGAATAATATGTTTTGAAAGCGTGCCAGAATTTAACAGGCTAAATCATGTACCAAATACCAATTTTTCTCAACATTTGTATAATTAAGCACTCAGAAAGATTTCTGCTTCATGATGAGGGAAAGGTGATGATGATATGATATCTTCATTTTGTAATAAATATGAAATAGTTAGTATTATGATTATTATCGTAACATAAATGTATCTTCCTTATTGCAGTTCCTTCAAAGCCTCCGAGTGGCTTTAATCTGACTGCATCCTCTTCTACTAGTATTACAGCATCTTGGCAGTTACCGCTAGAAAATTCCAGAAATGGAATAATCAAAGGATTTAAATTGTTTTATCAAAAGAAAGGCTCTGCTGGGTCAGAATTGATGCGGCATATAACAGATCAGGCAAAGCGCCTTGAAGAAGTCAGTAGCCTTGACAAGTTCACAGAATATGAATTTGAAATACTGGCTTTCACTTCTGTTGGTGATGGACCAAAGAGTTCCATTTTAACTGAAAGAACAAAAGAAGATGGTAAGACGTAGAAAATTAATAATGTTGCCTACATACTAGCTTGAATTTCCTCCTATATGAACCTTTCTTTCTTTTCATAATATTAATAGAACAGCTGTTTTTAAGAAAACATAGGAGGCTGGTTAGAATTATGATCAGTGCAACGGTCTATGCACTAGTGTTAACTACAAACCTGCAGTAACTAACATAGTTACTTGTTGTATTCATCTTCGCATCCATCACACGTCAAGAATTCTATACCTTTTTCAAAGTTTCTCAGACTTCGTAGTTTAGGTAGTGAGAACTCTGATTTTTACGAAAAATCAGAGGCAATGTGCTAGATTTTCGAGAAACATGGCTATCCTTTTTCCGTCGTTCTAGCGGGCGACCATTGTGCTCAACAAATTGATCGACAGGTAGCACTACAAATGGCTGAAAAGTAAAACACTGATCGCATTTTATTCACTCTCACATTTCACCCTCACAACCGCACGGTTAAATCTATCATTCTTACAAACGTTAAATGACTGGTACTATCTTTACGCAGCCTCCACTCTTCATTCAAACTTGACAAAAACATAGGTAAGTTTTGGTCAGAAGTTCATTTCAAACCGGTGACCAACCTGGAACTTTCAAATGCGCTCACTCACAATGCAAAACTTGTCCTTTCATTCATAACGTGCAGAAAATGTCAGGAAGAGATCCATTAAGATCACTGATCCCTTTACGTTCCCCTCGCTACAAAAAAGTTATACATTGGTAAAACAGGGAGACGACAAGGTGACCGGTTACGAGAACACCTTCGCGACGTAGAGACAAACGACAAGGACGCATCCAAACCAGTGGCTTGACACTTAAATCTTAAGTAGCATATGGCAGTTTGCAGCCTTTCCCTACATCTAGGCAGTTCGGAAAGCCGCAAAACTCTAGAACAAAAATTTATCTTCCAAATCGGTACTCTTAATCCCCGTGGTATTAACGAGCACTTTTCATTCAACTAATTTACGCTTGTTTTCTCCTTACCATATTCCCACCAATAGGGTAGCTCCATTTTCTGCATTTAAACCTACACACGACCCACAATTCCGCCAATCGCTCTGACAAAGGACTAACGCTAGGAACTTCAGCCTTTAAACTCTTAACGGTTGCCAATTTACGTTATCAACTCAGTTGATCATACCAAATTACCTTATATAAAAATGGTACTAGTAATATTTGTATCTGGATGTATTTTTCCCCATCACGTGATCAGTATTAGGTGGAAGCTATACATACCTGTTAAACCAAGTAGTTCCGGTCATATGGTTATGATATTTAGTGTATCTTTTAAATATAAAAAAAAAACTTTTTCTGGAAAAATGCGACTGCAATTTACTCCTAGTTTGAGATAGTCTGTCTTGTTTGTAATTTTCTCAAGTTGTGTATATCGGTACAAGGCTGTGCTCTAGGAACTATTTAACTATTTTCACATGAAAATTTACATGAAAGTGTGTATTAGCAATTGTGTTGGCTGTTATTATAGGTAGCCTTCCTTGTGGATTTAGATCTTGATGGTGCACCCTTAGTTGCGTCGCAAATTTATAGTAGTTTTTGGATTTGATTTGGGTTTTTTTTTGGCATAAATGTTAAAAAAAAGACAAACACAAAAGCAACAACAACAAAATGAGTGACAGGTTAGCCGAAAGTAACAACTTTTAAATTCAAATTTTGAAGGAGAGTGCTCAAAACAAGAACATCCAACAAAACAAAAACAACTGGCTAAAAATCTGGAAGACTTGGCGTCCCAAAATGACAATGACAGAAGTATTTGAACATACAAAATTCTCGAGAAGTTTATTAAACTGTTCGTTCTAAAGATGGAGAGACCACTCATGTAATTTAATTGTTTGTTTGCCAGATGTGTGATGTAATAGCTAGATCTCAACACGATCGAAATTTCAGAGACAAAATTTTATTTCAAGTGTTTATGGCTTCCTGAATTTTATAAAAAGACACCTGCCCCAGTATATGCATGGTTAGAATATTACAACATACCATATTGTTACCCATTAATCTTTTGATTTTCAAAAAATCGTGAGATTAGGGAACCGCGTAAACCTGTTTTCGCAAGCATTAACCACGCAAAACTTAATATACTGACAAGCACTGAGGGAAAGCGTTATGTTGCCAAAAGGTAGGAGAAAACAGGAGTCACTGAGGTAGGAAAGGGTCAGTTCCTCTTGAGGATCTATTTGAAAAAACTGACCATATCCTTGAGCTGTAAGCGCAAGTAGACGGTGTTATGTACTCATGTATAGCACTGTTTTAGTGCAAAGGTCCATGTTAAACTGTTTTCGGTTTCGTTTTGGTACAGTAATTGGTTTTGTTTAGTGTTATTAGAAACTACTGTTACGGAAAATTAAAATCAGCTGGGTCGATTCTGAGACTAACTATTTATAATGTAGTTGCATTTACAACTCAGACATGTTTAAATGTGAATTTGCCTCCTTCTCAGAGAGACATTAATATCTTTCTGGATGAAAACTTCTCAGTTGTAGCTGCAGGTTAGCCATTTACAGAGGCTGTAGTAATTAGGAAAATAACACTCAGTCCGGTTCATTATTTAAAGATGCAAATTAAAATATGACTGCTCAATTGCAGCTCCCTCACAACCTCCCTCTCAGTTCTCTGTATTTGTGAACTCTTCAACCAGCATCACAGCTTCATGGCAGTTACCACCAGTAGGCTCCAGGCATGGAATCGTCAAAGGATATAAAATATTCTATAAAAAGAAAGGCTCAGGTTTTGCAACCACCCTGACACTAGACAATGGAAACACATCAAGAAGATTTACCAAGCTTGATGAATACACTGAATATGAATTTCAAGTGTTGGCCTTCACTTCTGCTGGTGATGGACCAAACAGTTCTTCTGTTTTCAGGACAACAATGGAAGATGGTGGGAACTGTTAACTCTTTAACCAACATTTTAATAAACTCTACCATTGTAGTTGTTGAGATAAGGGTGATTTTACTGATCGATTCAAGTTGCTACCTTTCAAATGTAGACTCCAGGCTCAAATAGTTCACCTCGCCTCTTCGATTGCTTTTTTCTTGATACTAAGAAGATTTCCTTTTTCATGCGTTGGATTAAATCAACTCTTAACAGCTTCTTTTGAAGACCTGAGATGTATAGTAATTTTTAGATGATCCTTAAGGAAGCGCCAGTTCCTTTCACACAAAAATATGGTGGCAGTACATCTTCACGTTAAATGTGTCCCAAATGCTGCAACATGGCTGGGATTAATTGTTATTTAATACACATACATCGTTATTATTTTTTTTGTATCATTCTGTATTCTTCCAGCTCCTAGTGCACCTATATCTTTGTCTTCTGTTGATGTGCCACCCAGCAATTTGCATGGTCCAAGAATAACCTTGACCTGGAGCGAGCCTGCAGAGCCCAATGGAGTTATCAGAAATTACACTTTGTTTTACAGCCACGATGGAGTTGCACCAAGAGAGATTTCTGGAATAGGCAAAGATGCATTGAATCACACACTCGATGTGTTAGGTGGAGTGACTTATCGGTTTGATGTCAGAGCTGTGACTATTAAACCTGGACCAAATAGGACGATTACTGTAATGTCCAGGGAATATGGTAAGCTTGTTATATTTAAGTGAATTTCAAAGCACTTAAACACGCTTACACGACATTGTATAACAACACGAAAAGACCTCATCTGGTTGATTATCACTCGTATTGAAAAATAATTTGATTTCAAACATCTATTTTGTCTGTTTTATTTGATCTGCTCACCTTAAAAAGTATTGTCTTGCATTACCATAAAACTCTTAAAGTGTGTCTAATACATAAAAACGTTCTTCCTATGAGTTAAATGTTGCGTAGCACGGATTACCGATCAACTCCAGTTTTAACGCAGGTACAATAACTTATGTTTTAACTGAGGCATAGTAGTATGTTTTTCTTTGCTGATTTCCCTTCTTTTTTTTTGTATTTCCTCTTTGGACTAGAACATTTAAGTGTCTGCTCCAGAGTTTATTTATGTCTAACATTTTGTTGTGTATTTTTCACTTGGGAATATTGGAAGAAAGAAGAATTCCATTCTAGTCTTAGGTTGGGTTAATTTTTCATCCAGGAGTTATTTTACTTTATGAAAATTATTTCTCGTGTTTGTGAAATAGAGCCCAGTCGTGGACCAGAAGGGATATCCTCATCCGCAGTGAACTCCAGAAAAATCAATATAACTTGGCTTGGACTGTCAAGGGAAGTAGCCTATGGCACTATCATAAACTATGAAGTCAGGCTTAGTGTAGAAGAAAACTGTACAGAGATTCAGTCTTCATATCCTTCAACTATCAACACCACCGCTACTTATATTCTCGTGACTGGACTCTCCTTGTGTGCCAAGTATGCAGTGTCTGTAAGAGGCTACACTGCAGTAGGGCCCGGACCCTATAGCAGATCTGTTATGGAACGGATATTTCGTAAGTAATTCAATAACATGCCTTGATGCTGCTTTTTATCCTCGGGTTGAGCTTTGAGAAGGGATATTTAATCTATGTTTATCAAAACTCAGGTAATCCCGTCATCAAAGACCTCCCAAAAAGAACCGTTGTAGCACTTAACGAACTGGTAGTGTTGACATGTGAGGTAAATGGAGACTCTGAAGTTTCTGTAACCTGGACTAAGGATGGACTCACCAGTATACCTCGCGCTCAGTTCAAAAACAGTGGCAAAATACTTGTTATACAGAATGTTGTTCCTGGTGACAGTGGCGTTTATGAATGCATAGCTACGAACAGATTTGGAGAGAGCCGTACAGCTTCGACGCTCATTGTCGCTGGTACGTAGAAACTGACTCCCATGAAAAATTGCGTATTACTTGCGTAATAATTTACTTCCTTTAAGTAAATCCGTGGAAGAGCAGGTGTCTGTTTAGGTATTAAGTGAAAGAGGTAGCAAAGTTTTTCCAAAGGTCATGATCAACAAATGTTCTACAAAGCACTAATATCGTCACCTTGACAACTTGTTTGCACCCCTTCTTCAGGTAGTTGTTGGCAGGTCACTGACGTATCTCTCTGTGAACTCAAACTAATCAAATGTTTGGAAATGGGAAGAAAGGTGAAAAAACACAACAACGACGACCGAGAGAACTAAATAATGTGCAAGCGAAAAGCACATCATGATGGAGTTCTTGGATCTTCCTTGCAGGATTTTAGATACAGGTGACATAGCCTGAATTTATTTTGGCCTCTTTACGCTTTATTTTCTTCACACACAGTGCCACCCAGCATTATAAAAGAAGTTTCGCCTTCTTCAGTGATGTGTGAAAAGCAAACTCTGTGTCTTGTCTTGTGTCAAGCAACAAGTTACATTCCATTTAACTACTCATGGACGAAAGATGGCCAGGTTCCCACTGGTGATGGCATCAAGTTAATGAATAACAGTATCGTTGTTACGCCACGGGATGCACAAGATTATGGGCAGTATGTGTGTCACGCTTCAAACAGCTTTGGATCAACAAAGTACCAAATCACTCTACTTGCTCCTAAGGATACTCAATGTAATGACGGTAAATATTCCTCCTCACAATTCAAACGCGCTTAAAATTTTTCGTCTCACAAAGTTTGGAAAGCTTAGCACTCTGAGGTCTGAGCTGGCGTTTTCCGAGCTGCTGATGATAACTGTTTGTACAGGTTTAATCATATTGGTATCAAAAGCAAAATTATGTGGTGGTCGAAGACGCCAACACTTTTTAGTGTGAAAATACTTTTGTCTCTTCCGTACGAACATTATTTGGGTGCGCAATGCATGTATCAAAGTTTGCCTGTTAGATTGTAACTAAGGCGAAATACAGCTACCAATGTTTAAAAGACTCAAAAGTAAAATCTGACCGTGTCTTTCCACATAATACAGGTTCTATATTTTTGGGGGTGATATACATTATAGTTGACCCGAAGAGATGTTCGAGAAATTTGTCGCATACAACGAAATTTGTATGATCTTAGGAAATTTTGTACGAAACAATTAAGAACGATCTCTAGGGACGATCCGAGAAAGTTAGAAACTGTGTTCTCGTTTCGAGGTAAGAGAAACGTCATATTTTATAATGTGAAAGAGAACATTATTGCCTCGAAACAAGAAACTAAGTAGAACATTAGGAATTTTTAATTTACTTAGTCTTGGTTATTAGTGTCTGATAGTTTGGTTTTTTCCCTTTTGGCAAGGTACACAAAGCATCCTTCTAGCTATTGTCATCGCATTGTCTTGCCTTGTGGTTGTGTCACTCATTATGAATGGTGTGTTCACATGGCAGCGGAGACGAGCTGTCAAATCTTCACCCGATCAACAGTCAAGCGATCAACAAGCTTCAGTCCCAAGTTTATATATGGAACTTAAACCCAGGCCTACGAACCAGCAGTCTCATGTACCAACTGAGTATCAGTCGTTACAGGAAAAACCCGGAAATCCCGGATATTGCAACGTGGTATTTCAGAGAGAAAACGGTGGGAAACAAAATGATGAAATTTATGAGGAAATATGAAAACCCTACAGAAGATGTTCTTGTCTCGCTAAAAGGAGCTTTGAGTACTTTGGTAATACTATACACGGCACGCATTTGAAGTTTCGACCTACTCACCGTTGTCACGGTTACTGTTACTATCATGATTTCGCGTACGGTGCGGTTATCTATCATCTATGAAGAAAAAACATATGATCCCAATTGCTTTCTCAGTAGATGCAGCTAGGGAGTGCAGTCTGTTTACTTCAAGAACAGACATTGCTGCAATTGGTTTCTCATCAAAGTACTTTCATGGTCATTTTAAGGCAGTGGAGCCTTACGAGCCTCCTTAGCTTGTAACAACCTTTGATTGGGTCAGTTCGAATTCAATACTAAAATCTTTTTTATATTTACATGTATCCATGTAACTACGGTATATATTTTGCATTTGATTTGTGTAAAATGCTATACGAGGAATCACATATACCTGGATCGGAGCATTTAGTTTTAACCTCGAACGAGAGGTAAATGAAATTCTAAACTTTGGGTGAGACTCTTAAAAGACGATCACACGTAAAATTACTTTGCATAACCCTGTTAATTTTTTCCTAATTTTCTTTTGGCAGAATGAAAATTTGAATTTATTTCAAGGTGGGTTCTGAGCCAGAAGTAACATTTAAAAATAGAAAATTATTTTTGGATATGTTAAGAGTCATCAGATGTTAACATAGAGCAAAGCGTTAAAACTTGATATTTTCAACCATAATCGACAGTTGTTCCTTATATTTTATATTTTTAAAGAGGTTTCTATTGTTTGAGTCATTTATTGGAAATTGTGAACGTCGTTGTATTTTTATAAACAGTAAATTCTTCTTAACTGTAAACACAATATATTGTTGTTCACTTTTACCCTAAAGTATGCAATAATTTTAGACTTCAGAATATTACTGTGTAGTGTTTGTAGATAACTGTATAGGAGATTGTAGAGTATTTGCGCTTCATAAACAATTTTCAAGATAATAGAGTATGTGCGAATTGAAGAAAATGCTTGGTAAGATTTTTCCAAGGGAATAACATAGGAATAAGTAATAAATGTACAGAAGTAACAAAATAGTTGTAGATAATGGAATAAAACGTTTTCACGAAAAGATGTATCTGACCTTGGTATACCATGTCTCTTCTGTCTATTTCTTTTCATTCACTAATAGAATTTTGTCATTCGGTTGTCGACATGAACTAAAATAAAGTTACTGTGGAACCAAGCGCTGTCTAATTCTTGACGTTCGTAGCAAGTTCGCTTGAAGCAGATCTCCGTGTACCAGGAAACCGTGAAGAGTTTGCGTTCCTGCTGCAAATGGTCTCTACCGAGCTATTTTCCCCCATTATTGTTGCTTACCCCGCAAAGACCTGTTAATGCGAAAATATTTCGTCACAGCGCGCGCGCTCATCAAGAATAGCACTGCCTTGCTGCAAGCGAAAGACTCCTACCCTTGAACTTTTATACATATATATCTACATAAATGTGGGGGTAGAGTCTGCCTTGGCATAAAGTGCTCAATGCTATGGTAGCAGAGCTGAGTATATATAAGTGAAAGAATCAAAGAGGACGCATCGATTCTACCTACCTCTACCTATAATTTTATAATTTTGTCTGAACTTGTTTTGGTATCATTACGTTTTCCCTTTTTTTCACACAGTGCCACCCAGAATTATCGAAGAATTTTCCCCTTCCTCAGTGATACGTGAAAAGCAAAGTCCGTGTTTTCTCACTTCTCAAGCAACAAGTTATATTCCGTTTAACTACTCTTGGACGAAAGATGGCCAGGTTCCAACTGGTGATGGCATCAAGTTGATGAATAACAGTATCATTGTCACGCCACGGGATGGAAAAGATTATGGGGAGTATGTTTGTCACGCTACAAACAGCTTTGGGTCAACAGAGTACAAAATCACTCTGCTTTCTCCAAGGGATAATGAAGATGATTACGGTAAATATTCTTCCTCAATATTTGAACGTGCTCAAATGTTTTCGTTTAAAAAGTTTGGAGAGCCTAGAACTTTGAAGTCCAGTGTGGAGTTTATGGACTTCTATTTACAATTGTTTGGTATAACCATTTATGTATCAAAAGCAATATTATGTGGTGGTCTCATACGCCGACGATGTTCTGTGTGAAGTTACTTTTCTCTCTTCAGTTAGAATGTTATAAGAGTGTACAATGCAGGTAGATCATTCCATATATCATAATTGGCCCGTTAGGTTGTAACATAATCAAAACAGAACTTTATACACTAATTTTAAGGGGGCTCAAAACTAAAATATGCCTGTATTTCTCCTATTAGTTGTCCTGCTTGTTCGAAATTACTGGAGGTCATGTATGTGACTTCGAGTTAATAGGCATAAGAAATTTTTGGCATTTGATGAAGTACGGCTAAGAGACGAGACAACAGAAAGTTTGGAAGGGTGTTCATGTTTCGGGGTTAAAAAACAACGTCGTGTTCCTAAGGGTGAATATACTTGAAAAAAAAACATCATTGCAGTGAAACAAAGTAACTAAGCGGTCTTTGGTGTTTAATAGTTGGTTTGAAAGTCGTTTGTTTTCTTTCACCAGGTGCACAAAGCATCTTGGAAGTAGAGTGATTTTGTACTTTGTTGACCCAAAGCTGTTTGAAGCGTGACACACATACTGCCCATAATCTTGTGTATCCAGTGGCGTGACGATGATACTGTTATTCATCAACTTGATGCCATCACCAGTTGGAACCTGGCCATCTTTCGTCCAAGAGTAGTTAAACGGAATAAAACTTGTTGCTTGACAATTGAGAAAACACGGACTTTGCTTAGGGGTTACTTCTGTGTACTAAAAAGCGAGTCAGCGGGCGTAGTTAGGGAATTCGACGTAATTTTTATGTCTGTCGATAATGAAGTCGTTTTTGAGTTCTTCTGCCTTTTCCTATGTACATGGGTATGAGAAGATCTGAGAATGTAAACTTACTTCCTTCTCATCTCTGAGAAGGTGGTTAAATTTTAACTTATAAGCTGTTACGTACTGAAATCAGCTGAAATATGATGAATTATGAGCTGCAGCCCACGGCATTGTGGGAAATATCAACAACTTCAGGCTTATGTCATCTTGTTATGGAACGAAACTACTCGGCCTACGAAGAGACTGATTGTTTTTCTGAAACCGCGGACGATATTGCTACAAATCATACAAAGCCAAGTTTAAATAGTGAGGAGACAATCTTTTTTCGGATGAACTTTCGTTTACAGAAGACCGGTCAAGCAAAACGATCGTGATACACGCATACCGTGACTGACTCAATCGAGATGGCGCACTTTAATCATTGTTTCCGGGTAGCTTTTCTCGCTGTACTTTTTCCACTGACTTCAGGTGAGTACCATACAATCTTAAATCAATAAGAAAGGTTTATTTTACGTTAAAATTTACATTCAGGGTACTTTTGTGGGAGATTTCTTTCAGTCGTGAGTAGTGTAGCCGTACGGTCACAGGTTAATCCTCATTGCGAACATAATCAATATCAGAAAGAAACGAGGGTCTCTCGGGATTCGTTGTTTTTTCGTAATTAAAATGGCATCTTAAAAGAATAGTACGGTTAAGAATCTACCTGTTTTTACATCAAGCTCAATTCCTGTTTCAACGAATAAATTGAGTGGTAACATGTGCATCAATTTTAGGTTAAAGCATTCTTGAAATTTATTTCACTTTTCCTATCTACTGAAAGCTTTGAATTTGGACCAGTCTAATACATATCTACCTTGCGCTCCCAAAATTGTAAATTTACACTGAAAGTCAACTTCTCCTTGCTCCAAGGAAGGGCTAACGACCCAGGTTTCTCGAATTCGCAGCAGCAATTTATTTTTCTTTGATGCAGCACATCAGTTTTTCGAAACTTGAATCTTTCCTCATTTTCTCTAAAAATGGACACCGTCAAAAATGAGACCCGATGTATTTCCATTTGCAGTTTTAATGATCAGATTTAGATTTCCTCCAAATTTGTAATCAAATTGATAAATATTTTTAGAGGCAGACCAGCTCTAATTGTCCCTATTTGTGAAATGGATTTTGTATGAGACATACCTTATAGAGAGATTCAAGACATGCATATGTCTCTCACATCCAACCATTCTTGAATGTTACTATGATTATTATAACTGTGTTATAGTGCAAATGTAAATTTTATTTCTGTAGGAGCCTGTGTTGATTTAGATCTTGGAATGGGAAGTAGAACTATTCCAGATGGTAAAATAACTGCTTCTTCAGTACAAAGTGTCAGCACACCAGCCAAGAATGGTAGACTGAACTTCACATCAGGTTCATCATGGTGTGCAGGAACAAGTGACACTAACCCATATCTACAGATTGATCTACAGACACTTCATATCATCTGTGCTGTGTCTACTCAAGGGAATTCTCAAGCAGATCAGTGGGTGAAGAACTACACACTACAATTATCTACAAATGGGATAACTTGGACAGACTATATGGAATTCAGTGGGCAGGTTAAGGTATGCCACATGGGCTAGTTGAGAATTATATGATATCTTGCCTCAATCACTGTTCCTGAGTTTTGACAATGTTGATGCATTTATATCAAAATGGCCACCAAAGGAGTTATAGGTATGCAGAGGATTATTTGAACTATGAAAATTCAACAAGTATTCTCCTCATGCTCAGTAAATATCATGAATTTTGAGTAATTATTTTTCATTCAGCAAATTATATTTTGCATGCCTGAATTTGAAGTCAAGGTTGCATAAAGAATACAAGGGAGAAATGGACAGGCAATCTAACAAATTGTTTTGAACTATGTTATTGCACCAAATATTTATGATACAAAAAAGGTTGTCAAAGGAGTGCAGAACAAATGATATCTAATTGCTGAGAGATTGCTGCTCTCAATCCAAGAAGTAATAAAAATTGATTGTCACAGGTAAACTGCAGTTGTAGAAATTAGCTAGAGTTCACCTTCAAGGGTCAGTGTGCTATTTTTTATAATCCAATGGTCAAATTATGATATATTCATGTATGCTTAGTCCAGTGGGCCTCTTCCCTAAATGTCAAGCCTTATTCCTACACCTACATTTGTATTTTTCTGTTTTTATGAAGATTAACTGAGCCACCCAGCCCAACCATTGTGACAACAATAAAAGTATTTCCTGTCATAAAACAAGAGGGATGATTACTTTCACTAGGATGAAGAGTTACAATTATAGTTACATTTTACATTCTACCTGGAACTCTATGATGAGTTATAATTATTTTCCTAAGGTTTTAGAGGGAAATAAGGATAGAAACTCAAATGTCAAACATGTTGTATATGGAGTGTTGACAAGATATTTGCGATTCCTGCCACAAAAACACCAGGGTGAGGTGTGTATGAGAACAGAGGTGTTTGGAGTGAAACAGAAGCCAAGTAAGTTTAGAAACTTTTGTGTAATGTTGCACACATCCTCAATTTGATCCTTACATTTCACAGTTATCTGTGGTAGTTTGTTTTACTATAAACAAAGGTGACCTTCCACGGGAAAACGTACACTAACGGCTTTTCGTTAATCGGGTGAAACGCACGGCTACCGAACGGGTAACTCACCCGTTCGAACGGATGCTATCAAACGGATGCTATCAAACGGATGCTATCAAACGGATGCTATCGAACGGCTGAACGAGCTATCAAGTATTCCGAACGGCTTGTGTAAATTCTTGAACGGGTTACCCAAACGACTACACGGCTTGTGAAAATTATCGAACGGGTAACGCAAACGACTGCACGGCTTGTGAAAATTTTCGAACGGGTTGACACAGATGGATGAATGTATTTACGATTAATTTCATGAGAAGCAATTGCCGTAAGAGCCGAACGGATAGGTTATCATTCCGAACGAATGGACAGAGCCGGTCCGATTCACGATTAAGTAGGTTCGAACGGATAGTCAACTGTTCTGATGTAATAAAATATTGACTTCCCACAGCCGCTAGAAAATTGCCTGACGAAGTATTCAAGTTTGTTAAACAGAAACTTAGTTCAGCGTCTTCTATTAATTAAAAGCAAACCTCAAATAACCTGTGAAGGTCAAGTTGTCATTATTTATCTTTGCCGTGTCGAGTGTTTATTGCCGCTTTATTACACAAAAACGCGACTGCAACTTTTTTCTAGCAGCTTTGCATGTTGCCAAATTGTTCCCTATATCTTTTCTTTTGACAGTGAATTCGATGCGGCAAACATAACTATTCCGCGCACGATTCCATTTCTGGTGTTACTATAATACAATCTCGCGACATTTGCGTAAAGCGGATCTGTGTGACAGGTAACGCAACACTATAGAGTCCTGAGGTAAGTACTAAAACGAGGAACGATCTAAAACCACCTACAACCATCTACAACCACCTCAAAAATTTCAACAACCACCTACAACCACCTCAAAAACATCTACCACCACTCGCAAACTATCTAAAACCATCTAACACAGGGCATAAATGTCTAAAATAAGGCGAAACGACAACATGTCACGTACACGAAATACGAGAATCGAACGAAACCTCTACCTTCCCCTGAAATCTTACTCTCCCTGGTCCCATGTATAATCAACCATCTCACGAAATGAAATGCGATAGCATGTTAATTATTTTATATTCCCTCAGCAAAAGACTTAAAGAACTTTACAAAATGAACTAACAAGTTACAAAAACTAATAAGTAGGGAATAATACATGGGCGCGCGTAGATATGGAATTAATCTTCGAGTGTTTAACTCGATAGCTCACGAGTGAGCGCAGTGAACGAGTGAGATGTCGAGTTGAACACGAGAAGAGAAATTCCATATCTACAAGCAACCATGTATTATTTTGTTTATCATATAAACACAATAGCCCTTTTCTGGGAAGAAAATCCGACTTCATTAATGAATGCAAATAAATGAATCGACAATCCTTGAACAACAATCGTAGAGTGCGTTGGCGCTGACTCTTAAGATGGAAAATGCTTTGAATCATGATTAAAAAAACTTCCATATATACGCGCGCCTATGTATGATTCCCAATGTATTATTTTTTGTAACATGTTACTTCATGTTGTAAAGTTCTTTAAGTCTTTTGCTGAGGGAATATAAAATAATTAACATGCTATCGCATTTCATTTCGTGAGATGGTTGATTATACATGGGACCAGGGAGAGTAAGATTTCAGGGGGAGGTAGAGGTTTCGTTCGATTCTCGTATTTCGTGTACGTGACATGTTGTCGTTTCGCCTTATTTTAGACATTTATGCCTTGTGTTAGATGGATTTAGATAGTTTGCGAGTGGTTGTAGATGTTTTTGAGGTGGTTGTAGGTGGTTGTTGAAATTTTTGAGGTGGTTGTAGATGGTTGTAGGTGGTTGTAGGTGGTTTTAGGCGGTTTTAGGTGGTTTTAGGTCGTTCCTTGTTTTAGTACTTACGGGAATCCTGAACCTTCCAAACGGATGATACAAGTCGTTTGACGGAAAATAGTCCAAGTCGTTCGAACGGGCTGATGTTTTTGACAAACGGACTGATATTTTTGACGAACGGGTGACCAGGCTGGTCGAACGGATGGATGTCTTCGACGAATGGATGACCAAGCCGGTCGAACGGGCTGATGTTTCTGAGAACGGATAACAAAGCCGTTCGAACGAGCTGATGTTTTCGACGAACGCATGATCAAGCCGGTCGAATGGATGGAGTTTCTATCGAACGGATGACCGAGGCCGTTCAAACAGATGCAAATTTTTCTGAACGGCTGACAAACGGCTAGTGAACGGAAAGCCGTTTGAAAACGGACGTTTTCCCGTGGTAGGTCACAATTTAAGAGCCCATGACTGTAAATATCGAGAATCGCTGGCCAGGCTAAAAAATTCGAAAATTCTGATAATTTGCCTGGAAAAACCTTCTAGGGAGATGTATTTTAAAAAAAAATATTTCGAAGTTTGAAAAATCAAATGTTTCCGAGGAAATGGGGAAAAACGAAAATTTGGGTTTCTACCCAATTAATTATGCAAAAAATACAGTAACATTGACCAATTTTAGTGTGCGAGTACTGAAGGAGGATGTTTGGTAAGAAATCGGGGGTGTTTTTACTTCAAAGTATAATTCATTTGATTTTTATTTGTGGCATTTTAAGGAGCTTTGGTTTAATTTTAAAATTCACATGATTTTTTAACAAAGTGCTGTCAAACGCTTGTTGCAAAAAGCGAAAAATCGAGCAACTTCAAGCCTTCAAAACGCGTCTTGGCATGTAAGAAATCATATCAAACTACATGCTAAGATGGCTGATGCTGATGGCTGATGGCTGATCCCATTTAAGATGGGAAGGTTAACTTTAAAATTGTTACCTTGCAGCATGTGATTCACAGGCAATTGGTTTGGCCAGTGGTGGTAGAATTCCAGATGACAGCTTCTCAGCCAGTTCAATATTTGCTCCCAAATATGCAGCTAAATATGGTCGTCTTAATGGAAGAGGGGCATGGGAACCTAAGACTACAACTGATCCTACTGACTACCTACAAATTGACCTTCTCTATGAGTATGTTATCTGTGCTGTTGCTACTCAAGGAAATCCACCAACCCAATCAGTAGGGGCTCAAGAATGGACCACAGAGTACAAACTGAGATTTTCACTCAACGGTACCACCTTTCTCCCTTATAAAGAAAACAAACTTGACAAGGTTGGTATGGCATGCTCATATATATATTTTCTGTATATATATATACATGCTCAAGTATTTACAACAGCGAAAATTAGTACTTGTGTTACAAAACTACTGATTTTCATTTTGCAAATTACAGATGTCATTTTCCAAATTCAAGTTGCAGGTTTTAATTGATCTCATTTCACAAATTACAGTAAACCATTAACTATGCCAAGTTTCAATACGTTGATATCACTTTTTGTTTAACAGGCCTTTCCAGGAAATTCAGGAAAAACTGACACAGTGAAAAACAGTCTAAAGGAATTTGCAAGTGCAAAGTTTATACGCTTTTTGCCAACAAAGTATAATAAGTTCAAGGTTTTGAGAGTGGAGGCTTATGGAATACTTTTCACTAAAGGTATTTATTTGTTCTCATTTTTGTCCCGCTGATCCAAACTGAAGTCACAATAACAATGGAGAAATTAAGGTGAAATTGGACAATTTACAGAACAGTAATGATTGTAGTTATACAAAAGTATGAATGGCTCCCACAGTTAGCTTTTGGAAAAGAAAGATACAGTTTAACTTTGTTACATAATTATGTGGTGGACTGGACTATTGTACCATGAATGGCAATGAAGTTCTGCACTGTTAAATGAATTGTTGTCAGCAGGAAAGTTAAATAGCTTTTTAAAATTCAGATATCATTGATAAATTTCACATCAATTACCATCTCAGCATGGAGGCATACATTGTACATATCTTTAATATCCTTATTTCAGTTCCATCAAAACCTCCTACTGCCTTCAAGTTGACTGCAAGATCTTCTACCAGCATTACAGCTTCCTGGCAATCACCACCAGTCTTTGCCAGACATGGAAGAAAAATAACAGGTTTTAAACTGTTCTACAAAAAGAAAGGTGGTGGGTCAGCAACAGTATTGTTAATTGGCAGTGGATCAATATTAAGTAGAAATGTCACTGGGCTTGATAAGTTCACGGAATATGAATTTCAGGTGTTGGCACTCACTTCTAATGGTGATGGACCAAAGAGCCCTGTTGAGGTGGAGAGAACAAAGGAAGCTGGTATGTGATAGGTGAAGGTGAAGGTGAAGGATAAAAGATTATGACAATTTTTGATGAAATAAATTTCATTATACCTGCAAGGAGAGAAACCATCCCTCCATATGGGCTGCAATTGTAAGAAATTGCAGAAGAGAAACCAGAAAAAATTCAGGCCTCGATGGAACTTGAACCCATACCTCTCAGATACTAGATGGGTGTTACTACCAACTGAGGTATCAAGCCACACATTGGGAGCCAGACAATAGATAGAAGTTTCTTTGTTTGGCAGTAACATTTAGGTGGACCAGTTATAGGTATTAAGTTCTACATCTTTCCAATTGCAGCTCCATCAAAAGCCCCAAGCAGCTTCAGGGTGACTGCAGTTACTTCTACAATTATCACAGCATCCTGGCAGTTACCACCAGCAGACTCCAGAAATGGAATAATTATAGGATTCAAATTGTTTTACAAAAAGAGAGGGTCTGGTGGACGAGCAACCACCTTGACCATTAAGAATGGAACAGCATTAAGTAAAGATGTCGCTGGGCTTGATATTTACACAGAATATGAATTTGAAGTGTTGGCCTTTACTTCAGTTGGTGATGGACCAAGGAGTTCTCCTTTAGTGGTGGTGAGAACCATGAAAGATGGTAAGAATTGTAAAGCAATGTTCAAGTCTTTTTTAACTTAGTCTGCATGGTGCAGCAACGGCAAAAAAACCTATGAGCTGATTGTTTATGAGAAAGTATATTCTAACAGAACTTTAATGTTTTATTGCATGATTTGAACTTTCCAAGTTTTTATAAGTACTTTTGCAGTAACCAAGGTGGCTTTTTTTCTGGTTCATAATATTCAGTGTTGTAGTATAGTTATACATGTCTGGCAAAGACAAGTGTTAGGGATATCTTGGGGGCTACCACTGTATACAGGCAGGCCTCAAATGAAATATGGCCCCCATAGCAGTCAAATCCCTAGAAAACAGCCATGAGCCCCCATTCTAGGCCAGGGTCTTTCTTAGCTAATCATAAGACTATGTTTAGGTCATGTGGGGCAGTGTAGGGCCCTGAACTCTTCACAATACCAAGGCATCCTTGTTTGAAGACAAAAATTTGGTGACTGCTTACAAAGGCCTTCAGACAAGTATATTATTGTACATGAAAACTTGTTTGGGAACATTTAGAGATAACTGCTACAACACTACAAATGCATTCATGAATACTAAATTAGGTACTTTGTAATACCTCAAGATGACCAGTACAAAAGGTCTGAGAAACAAAAGAGGATAAATACAACAAAATTGAATGGTTGAAAACAACTGAATTAGTTACGGCCAAAGAAAACTTATGATGTTCTTTTTGTAAGGAAGCCTGTTGACTAGATGAGTAGCCAAATTGTGGCTATTCACCTTTTTAAATTATAATTTACCTAAATTTTAAAAGAGTTGCAGAGACAAAATTATTAAATGCATATGTTGGGAGCTCTACCCTCTTAAACCTTTGTTGTATTTATTACTGATTATTTTTCCATGTCAGTTGTATTGCTTTAAATAGTTTTTCAATTTTTAGGTTGTGTTGAGTTCAGTCTTGGCATGGAAGATGGAAGAATTCTAGACACTGGAATAAATGCTTCGTCTTCTAGCACACTAGCCAAGAATGGTCGACTAAACTACACATCAGGATCATCATGGTGTGCAGGAACAAGTGACACTAACCCATATCTACAGATTGATCTACAAACACTTCATATCATCTGTGCTGTGTCTACTCAAGGGAATTCAAAAGCAGATCAGTGGGTGAAGAGTTACACACTGCAATTATCTACAGATGGGACAACTTGGACAGACTATACGGAATTAGGTGGACAGGTTAAGGTGTAAAATACATTCTGTTTTGAAGCATTACTTCAGAAACAACTAAGATTTAGCATGCATTGACTTTAACATTTATATCTAATCCCCATAAGCATGCAGGAGGCAGTGACCAGTTCTTGCCCTAACAAATTATTAAATATAAATGTGTGATACAGGGTGTGATACAAACAGAAACACTGACATTGCTGAAAAAAAAAATAGCTTTCAAGCCCTGATTCTTAAGAGTCTCTGAGCTGTTGTTAGTTTCAAAATTTCAATATTCATTTAACAAATATTATTAAAAGGAAAGATGGTAAATTTTGAGCTTGGTGAAAATAATTGAGAAAGTTTTTTTTCATCTTTTCACAAGTGTGGGGCAAGCAAAAAAATTTGAGTCCTTGTGTAGTATTGAACCTCAGACCTTCAGATTTGGTGCTCAAATTCTCAAATCACTTAAATAGCAGTTGACTATATTGGTTAAAGATGAAATCGTACATTTCCATAATCACCACCTAGTGAACCTCAAATTATCAATAAGTAATGACTGGATTTGTTCTTGTCTAAAGAACAAATGTAGGAGAACAAAATGAATTCACTGATGTTAATTGAACATGCACAGTATCATCTGTAGGCTTAGCAGATACAGTGTCTTCAGATGAGCCTTCAGCAAATGATTTTTCAGAGCTGTGAGATGGCTGCTGAGGAGCATTAAGAATTTATTTGCACTGCTGGCTAACACTTCTTTTTCATACATGGCAAACCAAATGCTATTATTTGTGAATGAAAATGAGTGTTGCTAGCCCTCAATCATCTGCTTCTTGAAAATGGGAAGAATAGATTGTCACTCAAAATTAATGAGGGTGCTTCGTTACTTGTGGTGACCATGTCTTAAGAGCTCAAAGATGTTTCCTACCCAATCTTCATTTTTATCTCTATTGTACAATTTTCAAGGTTTAACTCTTGGCCTTTAAGAGTACTAGCATCTTTTTTCTGGTTACAATAATGGAAATGATCAGAAGCTTTTTGTCATATAGCACCTTAGGAAATGTAAAGAGAACAGTTTGAGGAATGTGTCTACTGATGTGTGGGTGTAATGGGTTAAGAAGGAAATGATGAGAGAAATTCAAATGTTATAAGCAGTGTGGATATCAATATCACTGCTGTTTTCTTGTGACTATTGTTTTGTTTCTTTAAAGGTTCTGGTAGGAAATGATGACAAAAACTCAGAAGTGAAGCATGTCGTTTATGGAATATTGACTAGGTATCTGCGATTCCGGCCACAAACTCACCAGGGAGGGGTGTGTATGAGAACAGAGGTGTTTGGAGTGAAACAAAAGCCAAGTGAGTTTGAAATTTAGTGTTCCATGATTGCTATGATCTGCTACTTTAAGGGCATTCTAAGATACTCTGGCTTAATATGTAGAGAAGGGTTTTAAACTTAATACATCTGTAGTTGTGTTCCTTTGATAATATACAATAAGCTTTTTGGATACAGGTAGTCACTAAAATGATACAAACTACAATGTATATAAATTAGTAATAATCTGAACGAAGTATTA